AAAAAACAAAAAAAAAAAAAAAAAAAAAAAAAAACAGGCGGTGCCGAAGGCTGAGAAAGCCGCAAAGGGGAAAAGTAACTTAAAAAGTCAAATGACTTGAGAGGCAGTTTCTAATTTAAGATCAAGACTGACAAGTAGAGTGAAGATTAAGTAGCTTCACAGTCACATCCTGGACACAGGCATAGGCCATAAATCAAGGATCCTGCCGTCACCCACGCATTCAGTGTGCTCAAAACTAGGTAAGAAAATTACTGAGCCTAACAACCTAAGTACTTTTGCTTATTTTTCAGCCAAGAAGCATTATATGCACACTAACAAATGACAGTGACTACAACATTTTACTAAAAAACTATGACTCTTTTTATTGATCATTTAGTAAGACTTCAGTTTTATTATAAGGAAAACACATAGTGAAAATATATTCAGGATAATAACAATGTACATATCAGTAATGTCTTAATAGCAGCTACCATTTAGTGAGCTCCTACTACGAATCATGCACTAAGATGACTATTTCACATATGTATATTACTTTATGTCCTCTATATGGTGACCTTAAGGAGGGCAACATTATCCCCTCTTACAGCTGAGGAAACTGAGGCTCGGAGAGGCAAAATCAGTGCCTAACTCCAATAGTTCAAGCCTGACACGCTCCCTCAACTTTCTTACTGTTGGAAGCATTCTTCCTGTTAAACAGCTTTATTGAGGTCCAACTGCCCATATGTACAGTGTACAACTCAGAACATGTTGACATATGTATGCACCCATGAGCTATCAAGATGGGGAAGGTCTCCATCACCCCCAAAAGTTTACTCACACCTCTTCTAATCTTTCTCCTCCCCTCCAGCAATCACTGATCTTTCTTCTTCTTTATTTATTATTTATTTATTTACTTATTTATGGCCACAAAATAAGTCTTAATACATTTAAAAAGACTGAGATCACAGAAAATGTTCTCTGGCCACAATAACAGAAGGAAATTTAGAAAGTTCACAAATGTGTGGAAATTAAACAATGCCCTCCTAAATAAACAATGGGTAAAAAGAAAAATCACAGGGAAATTAGACAGTACTTTGAGATAAAAATCAAAGCACACCATATCAAAATGTATAGGACACAGGGCTCATGCAGTGCTCAGAGGAAAATTTATACTTGTCAACACCTATATTAAAAACAAGAAAAACCTTAAATCAGTAATCTAAACTTCTACCTTGATAAAAGAAAAGCAAATTAAACCAAAAGCAAATATACATAGGAAATAACAAAGATTACAACAGAAATATGTGAAATAGGGAATTTTAAAAAATAGAGAAA